GGGGAAATTTTGTCCGACCCATCTGACAACGCTGTGCTTTGTCAGATCCGCCATATAACAACAAACGGATTGCCATTTAGCTTATTGTCAATTAACAACTATTTTTGCTTATTTCTTGTAAATCCTTGGTGTAAATACAGGGTCTACCAATAAGAATGATATAAGTTCAAATTACTGAAAAATAAAACCGAAAAGATAAATTTTTATGATTGATGTTTTATTTTATAGTATATTACGTAACATTATGTTTTGAATAAGACATCACTAAGATGCCCACCCCGGCTACGGCGGCAGACGTTTAGACGATAAGCCTAATTTTCAAGGACTTTTTCCAACAGGTTGGACTGAATTTCGCGAATAACTCGGGTGATGTTAACTTTCAACTCGTCGATGGTTTGAGGGTTGTTAGTGTACGCCTTCGACTTCATATATTCCCAAAGAAACAAGCCCATGGGAGTCAGATCACAGGACCTTGGTGGCCAGTTGATAGGACCATGTCGCGATCCTCAAAACGCTCTCTTAATCAATTTATTGTGTCTCGGGCAGTGTGTGATGTTGCTCCGTCCTGTTGAAACCACTTCTATTCCAAGTCGATCAATTGCAGGCCAAAGAAAGTTTGTCGCGTTTGTGCGTTGACTGTCACAGTATGCCCCTCTGCGTCCTTAAAACAGTAGGGACCGGTAATTCCACCGACATGCAAACCACACCATACAGTCACTTTTATCTTGTATAATGGTTTCTCGACTAATTTCTACCGCCACTAAGCAAAAAATGCGCCTCATCTGAAAAGATTTGTGTGCCAAAACCGGCATTTTGTTCCAACTGTAACAGGGCCCAGTCGGTAAACGGTCTTCGCAAACCATAGCCGTCAGGTTTTAGTTCTTGGGCTAGAACCATCTTATATGGCTAATTGTTGAGAACGTCGCGTTAAAACTTTCTCTTGCAGCGGCGATATTTTCAGCGCTCCTTGCATTTCTTTGTCGCTTTGGTGGCTTACTATTCAGGAGAATGTCCTGCCGCTCAAACTTATCAACTGTGCGCCTTATTGCAAGTTCAGAAGGCCGACCACGTAGGCTAAAATCTTCTCGAAAAGCACGATAATAGGCTCTAGCCTATCGCGCATTTTCGTACTACTTTTGTACGATAATATATACGTACGTTGCTCTTTAGTTAAACGATTTATGGTGAAGTGTCACAGTATACTAATCACAACTGACGCTTTATCGGCGTTTTTACAAATACCGCTGTGCGTACATGGCCTACTAAACTTCTATCACTCCTATTGGTAGACCCTGTATAGTCTAATCATACTATACGAAAATACCTCTGGTTTGCGAAAGTCTGGTTTTATTGATGCAAGTTGTTCGACGGGGTATTCAAAACATGGACGTATAAAACGGGTACACCAATTTTTGTGGAAAAACGTTTTATTCGACAACAAAAAATGAGAAAACGTATTTTTCGGGATTCAATCGAACGTGTTGGCAGGACCCAAAAAACTCTTTATACAAGATGTTTAGGTACTTATGACAGCTACAAAATGAGATCACACGTAAAAAGGTCCGACTAATATCAAAAAAGTTATGGCCGAAAACCGAGGCACTCTGCAGGTTTTGACACTTGTTGGTAATGCGACGACGGTTTCTCGCAAATATTTGAAATTTCTCAAATACTTAGGATTCGTACTTCTAAATAATCACAACAAAATTGGAGTAGATTGGAGAAGTAGTTTTTGAGAAATTCTATTTGTTTATCCCAAAACACCTGTTTTCCAGCCATCACTACTAGTTTAATGAGCAATATACAGGGTTAGTTCAAAGGGCATTTTATAGCAAAATGCACTAGTTTACCTTGCCGATATCGATATGAATCGCAAACCATTCCGGAAGACAAATGTTATTTTTATGCAAAAAAGGATGGGTTTTTTCTTCTAAACAAATTCAAACATTATTTGTCAGTAATTTGCAATAAAAGATGTTAGACACATACGCTTTGTTTTAAAATATGTATAGTAACATGAGTTTTTGGAGTATCGTAGCGCATTTGTTCAATTACTCACAAATAAGAAATGTTTGAATTTGTTTTCAAGAAAAAACCTGCGTTTTGCCTTTTCGGCCATAATATTTTTGCTATTAGTCGGATCTTTTTACGTGTGATCTGATTTTGTAAGTCTCATAAACACCTAAAAATTTTATATGAAACGCTTTTTCATTCCTGTCAATACTTTCGATAGAATTCCAAAAACACGTTTTCTCATTTTTTGTTGTCAAATAAAAAGATTTTCACAAAAATTGGTGTACCCATTTTATGCGTCCATGTTTTGAATACACCCTTGAACAACTTGCACCAATAAAACAATGTACCGGGGAACACTCGGAAAAGCCGCTCTGTAGGATGCTAGAGTAGCATAGTTCTACGAGATACATGCAATAACATCTTGGACCTAAGTCGATTTTCACAAATGACAGGTGTCTGATCGAACTCTGACCGAAGTACGTAATTAGAATACGATGAATAATCGCGATATACCGAAAAAAAATTTGGACCTAACTCGATTTTGAAAAATTATGATTTCTTTCGTATATACACCGCGTTAAGTGCCCTAGGGGCTGAAAAACAATGTTCCGGGGCACCCTCGGCAAAGCCGCTTTGTGGGCGGCTAGCGTAGCATAATTCTACGAGATAGATGCAATAAAATCGTGGATCTAAGTCGATTTTCACAAATTTCAGGTGTTTGATCGAATTCTGATCGAAGTACGGATAGGGGCCTTCCGGACGTCGTTGGGGTAAACCGCTTGGTGGGTGGTTAGTCAATACTTTCGATAGAATTCCAAAAAACACGTTTTCTCATTTTTTGTTGTCAAATAAAAAGATTTTCACAAAAATTGGTGTACCCATTTTATGCGTCCATGTTTTGAATACACCCTTGAACAACTTGCACCAATAAAACCAGATTTTATAATTATTTTGGGGAAATTTGCTAATGTGATTAGACTAGCAGTTGGAAATCTGTTTGAAATTGTTACTCTTTATTTAGCTATTTGTGAAGAATTGCTGAAAGTCCACCCTTTTTGTTTTTGGGGTGATGAATTGGATTGAAAATTGAACAAAAAACACAGGAAATCCTTTAATTAGGTGTAGAAAAACCTAATAATAGCATATACTACTTACTACATACCACAAAAATCCAATCAGCGACAACAGAAAAACAACATACAAAAACGTGGACCAGCCATTTTAACGATGGGGAACATCAACATGTTCATTGATGGAATTCCTGCTATTCTTCAAAATGCCGGTGAAGAACTCAATCTTTTGTTCAAAGACCGACGAGATTTATGTATTAGGTCTCTTGATAGAAAAATAACCAAAATATGCAAGACTTTGTTCCAGGTATACTAAGTGACATATAAATCCGAACACCCAGTTTAAATGGTTTTATTTTAATAAAAGTTGGTGAATGTATTTATCTTACTGTAAATAACAAGTGAAAAAATTTTCAGCCTTATCAGTTGGACATTCCGGTTTTTATACTGCTTTTTTTTAATTCACTAACGCTCTAAAAATTAATATTTCAGCCGCAGTGAAGAATCAACGTTGGCGGATTTTGGTTCTTGACATCCTTTACGATCGGTTACGATGCCTAGAGTACGGAGACCTGTACGATTTCGTCAACTTAGTGAGTTTGATAGGGGCCGTATAGTAGGACTTCGGGAAACTGGACTTTCTTTTCGGGCAATTGCAATTAGAGTGCAAAGAAGTGTAGACACTGTGGTTAGGTGTTGTCAGGCATGGCTTCGAGAAGGCCGTACGCAAAGAGCAAGGGGCACTGGACGCCGCCGTAGAACAACAGACCGTGAAGATCGCCGCCTAAGATTATTGGCCTTAAGGGACCGTTTCTTCACTACCAGGTCCATTGCAAATGAATGGTTTGCAGAACACGGAAGACCTATTGGCATGCGAAGTGTTTACCGACGAATGAGAAGTTTTGGCTTGTTTTCATACCGGCCACACTGGGTCCTCCCTTTAACTCGAGAACACTGACGTAATCGCCTTGAGTGGTGCAGACAACGGTCACTCTGGGATCAGGAATGGAACAGTATTGTCTTTAGTGACGAGTCTCGATTTTGTTTAGGCATGCACGATGGTCGTGCCAGGGTTAGAAGGCGACGTGGTGAAAGGAGGAATCCACAGTTTTTTGTTGAAAGACATGTTCACCACACTTATGGTTCCAGGTCACCTTTAATCTTCATCAGAGGTAACATGAACGCACAGCGTTATATCCGCGAAGTTCTAGAACCCCATCTTTTACCCTATCTTGACACCCTGGCAGATCCAACTTTCCAACAGGATAATGCCCGACCACATGTTGCAAGAGTCACAATAGACTTCTTTCAACATAATGATGTCACATTGTTACCATGGCCACCAAGATCTCCCGACTTATCCCCAATTGAGCTCGTGTGGGATATGATGGGTAGGAGATTGCTCAATTTGCAACGTCCTCCTCAGACTCTAGAAGCACTTCGAGAGGAGTTGGTGGTTGCCTGGAATGAGATACCACAGGAGGACATTGACCACCTGATCAGAAGCATGCCTAGGCGCGTTGGAGAATGCGTAGCACATCAGGGTGCATCCACACATTATTAAAGGTCAAAGGGCTTTAAAGCAGTGCAATCATTTTGAAATTTTTATCATTTACTTATTATGCTTCATTAAGTACTTATATAAAATTTTATTAAAATAAAACCATTTAAACTGTGTGTTCGGATTTATATGTCACTTAGTATATTTTAGAAGAGGTAAGGTCTTGGGAAACAAAACTGGTGAAACTAAACGCGTAGAACATCCGCGAAAAGTGTGATTTATAGCTGCTGATTAACATTTAGGGGCCTACGCGGGAGGTTTGATAATTTCGTTTAATATCAAACTGTGGTATCAGCACATGCTGATAACATTCCAATTACTGCGCCCTCAGTCAGGCGTCGAATTTTGGGGTCGTTTTTTGCTCATTTCACCGGTTCTTCTGATATATAGTATAGGCTTCATACCTCTGAAAGAGGATAGCTGCTATGGTTTCGTTCATTGTCTCACAGATCAACCTAGATCATAGTGATGAGTTGCCGAAAAACACGAAACAGCTGCCCATGGTTCGCTGACTGTGCTTAGATAGACGAAAGTAGCATGTTTAATAATCTTGCATCCTATATACTGCAATCCGAATGGTGAGAGTCGAATTTGAAGCACCGGAAAGACGCTTATTAACTAAGATAATAGTCACATACCTTTACTACCGCTGCTAAATCATCAGAAAAACTTTTATTCGTATACAGGGCCTTCATATCTTTAGCAGCCTTAAGCCTATCATCGACGTTCACGTTTACTTGTATCATTCTTGAAAGCTCTTGATCCCACATTTTGGCTTTTCTATTAATCTGAGGTACCAATCCCACAAGTATTGGCGAAATACAGTCCTCTGAGTTAAAGCCAAACAGAAGTGGAACTTTGTGGAAACGCCCCTGGCTTATAGCATCGGCCATTGGTTCCTTTGGAAACATGTCTTTCGCCAAAATCGGTGAAAAGTCCATTGGAATGCTTCCGTCGTCAGTTTTGGAAATCAGATAGTGCATCTAAAATTTAATTTTCATATATTCTACAAGTATTAAATGGACATTTTTCCTAAAAAATTCTATAATAGATGAAAATTTGGATTTAGGTTATTCAAGTATTGTTCTTAAGAAAATGACGGATTCTACTGTAGGCAGGCAAACGTTGTTAAGACAGTTTTGTATCTCGATAAATAACCTTTAAAAGTTATTCTCACGATATTTTCATATTTACGTTCGTTCAAGAGATTATCCTAATTCTCTTAGATCTCTTATTAGATCATGCGTGAATGCTCGTATGCGGGATTTTTGGGCCATCTGATTGATGAAATAGTTTTTTGAGCTAATTAACACATTACAAGAGACGAAAAAAAAGCTGAATTTTAACGTGAGTATACTAAGATATAAAAAAATATTAGAGTAAGTTTTACATTTATCTTTGAACAATTGTACTGAAAAGCAAAATTATTCTATAAAAGAGAATATAACACAGCTGATTTTGGAGAAATAGATAAAATCTACCAAAATATCATAAATCAACCTAAGAATGAATGTGGCCAGTTCTTTGTGTCCAAAAGGTGCGCGGAATTACTGGGGTTGGAAGAGTATCAATAAACTGTTATCAAAAAATTGCGATACACCCTCCACCATCCCCCAATTTTGATCACTCAAATATTTAAAAAAAATTATCAGGTCCCTTTAAAACATCAGAAAACGAAGCTTTTTTTTAGTATTTGGCATTTTTCTGTGTCGCCACTGTACCGATTTTCAGAATCTAAAACGCTTTTTAGTCCTTACATACTAGTACATTACATACATTACATACTAGTAGCCTTTTGCAAAAACTTCATCCAAATCCAAGTAGTACCTTTCGTGACATCCAACATCCAACTAACAAAACTCATCTTTGAAACTGTTTGCGATTACAATACTACCTCGTCAGTAGGCGTGGGAAGTTGAAGTTATAGAATAGATGAAAAATACATATTGTTTGCTCACCCCTGCTTCACGCATAAGTTTTTTAGCCGGCACTCTTTGCAGCTTCTTTAAGAGACTTCTTGAGCTATTATCAGAAGAGTCTAGTCCCAATCTTTTTCCAACATCGAATGCTTTCATCCTGGCATCCATATTTATCGCCCAAGGAGACAAACATGTGCCACTGATCATTATGGCTCCAGTTACTGACTCCATTTCTACAAGAAAAAATGTTCATGCAATTCATTTACTTCTTAGTCTAGCATAACTTCTCTTTTAAAAAATACAAAATACTCTTATAGTAACGACAACACAACACAATAAGATTTCCTTTATCCTTATGTAACATATTCTGTGTCTCAATTTGTGTAAAATGGCATATTTGGAAATATTGTCTAATACAGTTTTTCAAGGTCGTCAAAATTAATATAAACTACACACAGCTGTATGTCAGGAACAAATCAAAATGGATTAAAAATATTTAAAACGAAAGTTAAAATTACATCGTGAACCACCTGATGCTGCATTTGATAAAGAAAAACACCTATCCAAACGTTTATTCTTGGAAATGTCCCACATTTTCATGAATGACAACTGTATGAATAAGAAGACAGATGTTAAGCAACGGAGCGTCATTTACTCATATTTGCTAAACTGCAAATAGTTGGAGCACGTACATATCTCTCCAAATTTCGACTTTTCAGAACAATAAATGGAATCTGTTTTTTGTTCTATTCCACCCTTTCTCTCCAAAATTTCCATTCCATTCAAATTTGAATAATTGGTTTTTTCTCATAATAAAGTAATAATTGTTTAATTCAATTGCCCATCTCATCAACCATATAGTTTGTTCAACTGCCTCTGGTCTGTTTGACAAGTTCTTATTTAACATATCTTGATAAATAACACCATCTGAAGTGTTTTGGTAACATAGTACGCACTTTACAACAAAATATTTTTCGTTCCATCCATCGACACTGACACCACCAACCGTCTGTCACCTGTCAAATGTTTCATTCTACTTGTGATCCTGTGCCCACCATTTTGTGCAGCATCAGGTGGTTCACGATGTAATTTTAACTTTCGTTTTGAATATTTTTAATCCATTTTAATTTGATCCTGAAATACAACTGTGTAGTTTATATTAATTTTGACGAATGTACCATGTATCCAGCATTCACCAGGTTACTGGTTGTTTCCCTCAAGCTAAACGTTAATAGCATTTAGCAACAATCTCACATACGGCTGTAAGTTAATTTAAAATCATTCTGCACAATAGTTGCTATTTCTTCTCAATGTTATTGCAGCTCCTGATGAAGATGGCAAAGTCCATTGAAAGCTAGAGATTAATAAAGTATAAAGAGTCCTCTTTGCTTGAATTTTGTCGAAGTACCCAACAAAAGGCGGAAGCTCTATATATATATAATTTTTTATTTCCAAGTTTCAAACATACAAATGTGATATTTGCAGCTCCCCGGGCAATAATACCGTAGCTAAGATGAGTTCAAGATACGGAGTTGTGAAAAGTCCAACAATTTACTGGGATATATGATATATCTGATATTCTACAGTACTGTGCGCAACTTTCCTATCATATACTCAATGTGGGCATCCCATCTGAGATGAGCTTCAATAAGTATTCGGAAGTAGTTACACAAGTGCATCAAAATTACCGATAATTTATCATGAAAGTGTGTTGTCTAAAAATTGCATCAGATTATTTTCATATTTGGGCGATACAGCCCTCCTCATTCAGAGCCGAATGCGTTTTTTCTACTGACAACATGCTTGAATGTAAAATTATCAGGTTTATTTTGAAGCACGTGTGTAATTCGGTAGAATATTTCCATAGTTGACAGAGTAAAAATACGTGCCCGAAACGTGACATTACAAATACTCTTAAAATTCGATATTCATGCATATCAAGATGACAAATGCACCTCAAGATGACAAATGCACATTTCATCAATCGTAACTATACATATGTATGGACCTATAGGGAAATTTCCGATACCTACTGGGCAATTTTTACTGAAAATTTCCCGTTGTCCAGATAATGGGACAATTTCGCTGTAATTTTGCTATAATTTCACACCTTTTATGGCATTTTTTATACATGAGGGAGATATTCTGAGCAATTTAATTTCTTGCATCGTGCATAGTACAGTTGCATACTCAAAACTATACCTTTTCCATTAGATAGCAGTTGGAAACATGTGCTAGAGGCTCCTGCACTTTGTCCTGTAATGACGATATCCTTAGGATCACCACCAAATACTTCAATGTTGTTTATAACCCATTTTAATGCAAAATTCTGGTCTCTGAGACCTAAATTGGCTGGTATGCTTTCATCTTCTGTCGTCAAAAAACCTGAAAATATGATTATCCACAATGATTATTGCCAAACTAAATATTGTATATTATACCTAGAGCTCCTAGTCGATAGTTTATAGTAACTACAACAATTTCTTCGTCCATGAAGAATCCAGGATCAAACTGGTCGAAAAATCCGAATCCAAAAATGTGTACCCCAGATCCCCATTCATAAGCACCTCCATGAATCCAAAATAAAACTGGAAGTAATTTCGATGAATCGTTTGATATCTACAAATTGTAAATAAAAAATTAATTTTGTAAATAGGAGCAGATCATGAAATTTTTTATCTTTATGAGTAAGGGTTGTCCCAGGATTTTGGATTTTAGATAAAACTAAAAAAAATGTAAAAATAGCTTGCTTGCTTATATTATCGGAATAGAGGTATGGAATCTCTATTTCAAATGATAGCTTGTCAAATGTCTAATAGGTGCGTAGAATTACCTGGGTTGGAAGAGTGTAAATGAACAATGTCACAAAGTTGAGATATACCTTCCCCACCATCTACAACATCCATTTTTTTCAGAAAATGATCAGTTGTTTCTAAAACGTCAAAAAAAGTGCGAACGACTTTTATTTTCTTCGTTGTTTGTCTGTAGCACCGCCACTGCTGGACTGATTTTCAAAAACTACAAAGCTTGTTCTTCTTTAGCATAGTCTTCATCTTGCGTTAAAATTACATCATAATTCGACTGGTGCTTTCCATGGTTAAACGTGGTAAACAATAAGCGAACAAATCAGACATGAACATATGTAAAATCCCAAAACCATAATATTTCATTTCTCACATTTTTAGGGAGTACATAGCTCCAAGAAAGTTGGGGGGAGCCTAAGCGTTTGTTTCAACGATTGAAATTCAAGGAGGTGGCGGCGTCTGCTGCATCAGTGATTCTAAGATCGATTGTCCTTGTGACAGTTGAAGAACGGGGAGGCTTAAATTCCACAAAAGTATGATGTATTACATAAGGAAAATGGCTTAAGCCCCAAAACCTGCATCCTGAATAAGCCAATGGTTGTAAATTAACCTTCCTCGCGAATTTATATAATTCTGAGGCGTCCAATTAAATTCCTGTTCTCTACGACACCTGCGCGCATGGGCGTCCATTAGGGATTCTTATTGAGAAGTAGAATATATCTAATAGTGTACCCGTTTCATAAGCAAAGGGTGGCGTGTTCCTTTTTATGGTTTTGAAAATATTCGCGAATATTACTTTGCTAGATCTAAATTGTGGAGATGCGTCACCCATCCGTCCTCCACCCCTTAGATGCTCAGGTTCATAAATAAAGAAACATGTACAATTGTAAAAAATACGAACAATTCGCTTGCAGTTAGTGAAAAGAATGAAGAACCAATCGTGCTCTCAATACAAATCTAAGGACACCTCAGATGTCAAAATCCATTACAATAAGCCTCTTGAGCTGAAGCACGTAGAATACGAACTTCAAAGCTGTAATTTTCGATAAAACTACGCCAGTTATTTTTTGTTATTCTAGACAATGTCACCCGAACTATTCAGACAAATCTAAGAGCCTCATATATCAAAATCCATTGAGCCGTTTAAACTGTAGCGCCTCCCCCCCCTCCCACCAAATAAAAACCCTGCTGAATTCTGTTGTGGGACCGCCAATGTGTCTAACCAAATTGGAGTTCGCTTTATGGACGCACATGCCTGCAAAGTCGTTGAACAATTAAATGCTATTGGGACACCCTTCAATATAGATAAAAAGTGTTTTACCCGGGGAGTATAAACGTTAAGAACTAAACAGTCCTCAGTCCCATAAATGTACCCATCACCCTCTAGTATTGGATCTTGCAAGCAAACTTTATTTGTTTTCGTAGCATCAAGAGTTTCTTTCCATGGGTGTACGGGTTCAGGCGGCTGCAAGTAACATTCTATTTAGTATTTTACAAAAAAGACGGGCAAGTTGTTTAAAACTATACATATTTACCTGAAATCTTCTTTCACCTAAGGGTGGTTCTGCATATGGTATGTTCGTGAACGAGTGGTACTTCCTTCCTTGGTTGCTATTCTTACACTGTCCCTTTATCGGACTGTTTGAAGGAGTTTTCAAAGTTACGGTAAGGTCAGCGTCCTGTCACAAAACCAATAGAAAGTGAACAACAGCCAGTATTTTCTCTATAGAGCGATTGACCACTGTTTAGTTTCTTAATTTCACTAACCTTGGAAAGTTCAAAAATCAAATCAAGAAGATATCTATGAGCTGTGCATAACACATAGTATCTATTTAGGCTCTGCCTATCCAGTGTCTTTAATATAAAAAATGGCTTCAAGTAGATTGACTCTATTCTTCCCATGACTTCGAAATTACTTGCGATGAAAGACTAAGACCAATACTTGTCTTATGTCCCAAGAGCAAGACTAAGGCCAGGCAAGTCCATGGTATTGACCTTGGTCTTGCGAAACCCTTTATTATACTAACATCAAAAAATTTACGATACACCCTCCCCTACCTCCCTTACAAGCCCCCACCTCCCAATTTTTCACTTCAAAATGTTTTTCAAAAATGATCAGAACCCTCTGAGACGTCAGTTTGAGCAATTTTAAATTTTTTTGGTTTCAGCCTTTTTTCCGCCGCCGATTTTCAAATGCTTTTTCGTGTTTGGCATAGGAGCAACTTTTAAATTTGACATATCAATTTGTGTACTAGGTAGCCGCTAGTCTGCTGCTAGGTTACACCGCCCCTGCTAAAACCTACTTAACGTCACAAAATTTGGACTATCTTAAAAAGTAAGAGACAAGGTATTGCAAAAATTCTAACGCACTAGGCAACCTTCTGCTTTTGATAGATATGAGGAACTTCGTAATTATACTCTGTCTGTAACGAGAAATAAGCATGAAGTATATCTGGAACATACTCTCCAGCATAGTGATACTAAAGCTTGTTGGAAAACTTTGAAATATTTAAGTGTATTCGATAGCAGTTCTACATCTCATCCTTTAACATTTTCTGCTCCCAACATTATAAATAGATACTTTTACCCCTTTTTACAGGCAGTTAACAACAATTGTGATGAAAAAAATACATTTTTGTAGCAACAACTCACTTTTTCAATTCGTTTAATTACTGTAGCGGAGGTTAACAAGTATCTAAATTGTATTAAAACTGATTCTTTTGGTGTTGATAATATCAATCGAAAGAGTCCATTTATCGATAAGTATATTGCGCATATTATACAGGGTGTCCCGAAAAAGGTGCAATATTCTACCAGCGGTTTCTTGAGCTTAAAATAGGAAGAAAAGTTTATATGAACATAGGTAGACAAACGTCCCCTAAGGGCGCTACGGTCTTTTAAAGGGGCTCCCCTGAAGATGGTTTTTCCTTAATATTTCCGAAACGTGTTGAGATAAAGACATAAAGTTTAGTAGTTTAGCCTAGTTTTTTATGATGGCTTTAACAATTTTAGACAGTTTTGTTTGGAAGCGTATGTAACAGGGACGGACTCAGGTTATTTTAGCCCCAAAATTTTTGTGTGATTCTATTTTTGAAATTCAATATCAGAATTTGAAAATTTGGGGTTTTCTACATAAAAAGGTACTCTTATTGAATATCGATAAATTGTGCCATTTTTGAATAAAAACAAACTAAAAAATTTGTCACATGATAGGAAAGTACTGCGAATTTAAATGAATTGTTGATTATACATAGTTAGCATGACTGCAAACAAAAGTTTAATTTCCATAACATGCATCACTGGTCAGATAAAAATCCAAAAGTTGTTCGCCGTACAAATTTCCAACATAGATTTTCATTGAACTTATGGGCAGGAGTAATTGGGGATCAAGTAATTGGGCCTATTGTACTTCCCAATCGTCTTAATATAGAGGTGTATCTGAACTTTCTTCAGAATGAGCTCATGGGTATAATACCATTGGATGTGCGCCAGCAGTTTCAAGAAAATATGTTTTTTCAACATTATGGCGCCCCTGCACATTTTGGATGCAATGTTCGAAATTGGTTGAATGTCAATTTTCCAGAGAGGTGGTTAGGCCGAGGAGGTACTATAGCGTGGCCACCACGTTCGCCTGACCTAAATATATTGGATTTCTATTTTTGGGGGTCATTAAAAGACCTAGTTTACTCGACTGAAGTAAATACTCAAGAAGATTTACTTCAAAGAATCCATCAGGCTGCAAATGAAATAAGAAGAAAACGGTTTTCCACTTTTCGGGCTACGCAATCATTAGTGCATCGAGCGTGACTCTGTATCCAACAAAATGGGAATTTATTTGAACACTTATTGTACAGCTAGTTTTAAGTATCTATATCAACTGTATTTCTTCTTTTTTAAACAAATTTCAATTTCGTTCGTAGAAAAAATTTATTTCTTTTGTTTTTGCCTATGTTGCAATAGAAATATGTATTTATGTAATAATGGGTGATTTTTTTGTTAGTATCTTTTTGGCAACACTGTTTTTGACAGATGACGCGTGAATCGTGTCTTGTGTCATCGTCAAACTTATTCAGTTTGGTCTATAATTTAACCATGCATCGACTTACGAACGAACAACGCTTGCAAATTATTGAATTTTACTATCAAAATTCATGCTCGGTTAAGAGAGTGCATCGAGCACTGCTTCCAATTTATGGGCAATTTGGTCGGCCTACTGAGGGAGCTATTCGGAAGCTTGTGACTAAATTTCGAACCCAGTTTACATTATTGGACATTAAACCACCAACACGCAGACGTAGAGTGAGGACTCAAGAAAATATTGCGGCTGTATCCGCCAGTGTTAGTGATGACCGTGAAATGTCGATTCGCCGCCGTTCGCAGCAATTGGGCCTCTGTTACTCTACTACGTGGAAAATTTTGCGACAGGATTTGGGTGTAAAACCTTATAAGATACAGCTGATGCAAGAATTGAAGCCACACGACCTCCCACAACGTTTCCAATTTGGTGAATGGGCGCTGGCAAAGATGGAGGAATATCCACATTTTTATCGAAAAATTGTGTTCAGCGACGAAGCTCATTTCTGGTTGAAAGGGTACGTTAACAAACAAAATTGCCGCATCTGGAGTGAAGACCAGCCAGGAGCATTGCAAGAGCTACCAATGCATCCCGAAAAAATCACTGTTTGGTGTGGATTATGGGCCGGTGGCATCATCGGGCCGTACTTCTTCAAAGACGACAATGGCCGGAACGTAACTGTCAATGGCGAGCGCTACCGTGCGATGATAACAAACTTTTTTTGCCCAAAATAGAAGAGCTGGACTGGGCTGACATGTGGTTTCAACAAGACGGTGCCACATGCCACACCGCACACGAAACAATGGCCCTATTGAGAGGCGAGTTCGGTGAACAATTTATTTCACGTTTGGGGCCCGTCAATTGGCCGCCTAGATCGTGTGATTTAACGCCGTTAGACTATTTCTTGTGGGGCCATGTTAAGGCTAATGTCTACAGGGATAAACCAGCAACGATTGACGCACTGGAAGCCAATATTGAAGCATTTATTCGTGAGATACCGGCCGATATGTTGGAGGGAGTGTGCCAAAATTGGACCTTGCGCATGGGCCATCTAAAGCGGAGCCGCGGCCAACATTTACATGAAATAATCTTTAAACTTTAAATTATATCGACCATTCTATCGACTCAAATAAAGGTTTAATCGTTTTTTTCAAATTTTTTGTGTTTTTTTTTTAAATCAAATCCTATACCTCTTAAAAACTCACCCTTTATTTACCAATTATTAAATTAGTTTTTTCGTTGCCATGGCTAATTATTCAACAATTCATTTAAATTCTCAGTACATTTCCTATCATGTGACAAATCTTGTAGTTTGATTTTATCCAAAAATGGCACAATTTATCGATATTCAATAAGAGTACCTTTTTTATGTAGAAAACCCTATATTTTCAAATTCTAAAATTGAATTTCAAAAATAGAATCCCACAAAAATTTTGGGGCTAAAATAACCTGAGTCTGTCCCTGTTACATACGCTTCCTAACAAAACAGTCTAAAATTGTTAATATTTTTAAATCCAGCATAAAAAACTAGGCTAGAATACCAAATTTTATGTCTTTATCTCAACACGTTTCGGAAATATTAAGGAAAAACCATCTTCAGGGGAGCCCCTTTAAAGGACCGTAGCGCCCTTAGGGGACGTTTGTCGACCTATGTTTATATAAACTTTTCTTCCTATTTTAAGCTCTAGAAACCGCTGGTAGAATATTGCACACTTTTTTCGGGACACCCTGTAGACTGCTGCATTGAAAATTCATTTTTATCACTTCTATGGACTGCTTTAATATTACCGATTCCAAAAAAGCCGACCCCAAGCAGTCTTTCTGTTCTTAGAACTATATGCAAGTAACCCACAGTATCTACTTTTTTTAAAATGTTCATGCATTCACAAATTAATGAATATTTTACGTTTAATTAACTTTTTCCAGAGTCACAGTGTGGGTTCCGTTCTGGTAAAAATACTGAAATTGCCTTAGCCTCTGTATCTAATGATATTTTAACAGCGCGTGATCAGGGATTAAATTCTGCCTTGATCTTACTTGACTTTTAAAAAACATTTGATACGAGTTGCTTTGTATGAAGCTTAGCAAGTATGGTTTGAGCGAAGCTGCAATATTTTTGGTTTGGAGCTATTTTCTGACGCGCTCACAAAAGACTTCTGTGAATGGATCTCATGCTAACAGTATCGAAATTTTATCTGGTGTCCGCAAGGCTCCATCGTGGGTCCTCTTCTCTTTATTATTTACACTGCGGGTATCTTAACGGGGCTCCTACAATCACGAGCACCAATCTGCTGAGGTACCGGGAGGGGTGAAAAGGAAACGAGGGTGGGCTGGCCATAGACGATCGTCCGCGCTACTTTAAAAGAGGAAAGGGTGACTGCGGGTGTGTACCGAGGTAAATTTTTATAATATCGGAGTCGGATTTCGATTAGCGATCTAGAATGTAATTCGTTTCTTATTTTGGTACTCAGCAAGTGATCATTTAGTATTTTTCTCACCTTGTTACTGTTCGTCGATATTGTGTTGTTGAATTGTTGTTGGTGTGATTGTTCTTGAGTGCCTTTTTTTATCAAGGCTGATAATGGACAATAAAGGGTCATATGCGACCATTTTAATTACGAATGCAGTGAATTTAATTCATGATGAGGTCAACAATAGTGTGGAGCAGTTCAATTCTATAATCGCAAAATACATTGGAGTAAGCGAATAAATTATTGCAAGAAGAGGTCATACCATGGAAGATGTGCTGCATCTGTAGTGAGCCACAATACCCCGCGGCCTGTATATGTGGTCTAAATACATTTGCGTTCTAAGCTTAGTCCAACCTCGCTTATCGCTAAGATGGAACAAAGACTCAAACGCAAGAATCTTGAAAAGAAACTCATACCAAAAAAAGCTGATATAAAAATAACTAACAATTCGGATAGCAATTCCAAAGAAAATGAATAGTTTTATGGCGAATTCAATCAAAAACCTGACATTAGCTACATTATTTGGAGGTTGCTAAGCGAAAGTTTTTAGGGAAATTTAAAAAAAGTGGCGACGAGATTTTGCAGATCGAACAAGTCACCAAATCACAGGACTGTATTTTGTCGCGCCTTCTTCGGAGGATAAGGGTGACAGTGTCTCGATTTGATGAAGTTTGTAGAAGAAGGCAGACAACAAGCTGTAAAGTTCTAGTAAACTCCATCATATACCCAACAGAGTTTTCTAGTAACGCAATAAAAAAGGCAATACAAAAATCATTGGACACCGCAGTTCAGTCTTGTGGTTTGTTTATTGATCGCACTCATCCATTTCTGGCAGCATCGCCTCCATCTACCTATTACAGTAGACAAGAAATGTACTCAATCCAGGTATAAGCCTACCTGTTTATTGCTTTGCAAAAACTTCCTAACAGTTTCCTCTTATTTTGACGGCATAAGATATTTTTATGACTCTCATTCAATTGTTACCATGTACCACGTGACCCTTGTAAACATAATTGTGTTTACTGACATGAATAAACGAATTGTAATTTGAGTTCTTGAATTTATTTTAGGAAAGATATCAAATTAATTGAATACATTTTTTCTCAGTCGGAACGCACCGTCGCGTCGCTTGGACTGGCAGGACGAAACAGTAGACGAATTTCGCCCAAAAACCGATTTGCACTTCACAGCTTACGTTTCATGTTTTATTCTTTCCAAATGAAACTCTTACAGCGTGCTAAAAACAAAGTCGACAGGGTGCTAACGATCCACTTTTTCGATTTTATCCACTAGGATCTTCTTAAAATATCAAGAAGTTGAGCAAAAATAGTAAGCATTTCAACCCACCATAATTCTTGCGTAAAGACAAAATCTTGTAAAACGCTCTGATAGCACCTTAGGCAATTATGTCTTGCTTATATTCAGAAAAACATCACAAACTGCAGAACACAAACTGGTAACGGCGAAATGGGTACATTTCACGGGTCATGAAATTCAAATGAAAATGCAGGTATACGATCTTCCAAATTATCGTTCTCAAAAACGTATTTCCTTGACTTATCGATAATTTTAAAGTTCCGCGCTTAATTCCCATATACTTGACTGGAGTGATATCCGAATTCATTCTTCCCTACTGTCGGCAGTTGCAGATAGATCTGTTGGCTCTTTGTATCAAACCTATAGAGCAGGTACCGATTTTTTCAAACCATGAGCACATTATTCGTCGGATTTTCGTTACTTCAATTTCCTGTAATCACTGGGATCAGAAGCTTCTTAATAATAGAACGTGTTTCACTGATATCAAAGATGCAACATTTAGAATCACTTTCCCCCAACCCCCACTTTTTAGGCAGTACAATTTTTTTATGTCAATGATAAGGAACCCATGTAACGTCAAAAACGGAGTTTCAGCAATTATTACTTTTCCTTTTTTGCCTATATCACCGTTGCCACTGGACTAAAACTACAAAGCTTTGGCATACTAGTAACCGCGTGTGGAAATTTCATAAAAATCCAAGCGGTTATTTTCAAGTTGATGAGTGATACAGTTTTTCGTGATGTAGATGTCATGACTTAAAAAAACATAACATCTCATTTTAGAAATTTTTCGCGATTACAATACTTCCTCGCCAATGACGTGGGAAGTAAATCGGCTTTAAAATCGAGGAGTATCAGCGATCGCGATTATGAGTACCTATTTGCAGAACGAATTATCTACGCGATATTATATGAAATAGGGCCACCAAATTATCTTAATACGTCCTTTCTTAGTCCGTACATTGCGCCGAAACGCTTGGATTGGCAGCACGAAGCAGTAGACAAAATTCGTCCAAAATACGGTTTATAGAGATTTGCGCGCTTCGAAATAGAATTATTTTTTGATATTTTTGGATGAAATTTTTACAGAGTGCTGAAAACAAAACCCCACAGGGTGCTATAGAGCCACTTTTTTATTTTTTTCACTAGTTTCTTTTTAAAAAAATTGCGAAGTTGGAGAGAAAAAGTACGCACTTCAACCCATCGTAAAACTTGTGCAAAAACAAAATTTCAAAAAGTGCTCCTATAGCTCCCTGGGCAATTATCTTCTCAACATACTGTATGAATTTCATACAAAAATATTGAAAAATGGAGTGTCAGTTTTGAAGCAGCTGAACCCTTGTAAATGGCTTGAAACTCACTGCGTCGGAGCCGCCTTAAATAGCGTTCAGCACTGAAAAGTGCAAGCATATGCCGATGACACTCAGCTATATTTCAGTTTTTGCTTCAGGGATACTCATATTACTGAGGTTACTGTTAATAATGAGTTGACTAGGATCAAAAAAAGTATTTTGAAGAATTTATAACTGAATTCAAGTAAACCTAAAGTTTTATTTTTTGATGCGAAACCTACTATTAATTTAATGAAAAATAGGGTAAGACTCCGGCTTGACGGTGCTCTTCTTGCAATCAGCGTCATTGCTAGAAATTTAGGGTTTATTATTTCTAGAAATTTGCGGTCTTCTAATCGTGTAAAAACACTCATAAGTAAGGCTTATGCATCATTGAAGCTAATCCATCTTAAAATGAAGAGAACATTGTGTAAACTGCTAGTTTTGAGTCATTTTACCTATTGTGATTTTATATAATATGGTCCTTGTTTAGTGCACTGTGACAGATTGCGTATCCAAAAGGTCCAGAATAACTGCTGCAGTATATGGGATAGGAATGATCACTCATAAACTTTTGAATGGAATCTAATATGGTGACTTCCTATGCACTAATTTTACGACCCGGTCTTCGGCTCATTCTGTGAGATAAACTGGCCTTTACTACCAGAACGAACCATTTGCTGCCAGAAGAGCTTGGATTATTAAATGTCAATGAATTTAAATATAAATTAGAAAAAAGTTACTCGATGGACATCGCAAATTATGACACGGCTTCACCATTAATTTTCCACTCTCTCTTATATTCAACTTTTTTTCAGTTATATTAGGAATTTACTTTTTCAACCAGGCTATTTGCATATTTATGTACCTATATTCCATTGCTTGCTAATTTTTTGTGTAAAATTTATTTTCTGTCTGGAATCCAGCTTATTTTATTTCATTTCACAAATATTCAAGATACAAACCAGTCACTAACATATCGGCCACTAAATGTATGTATCAGGGAAAAATATTATTTTTTTTTTAGCTTTTCGAGTGCGAACTCGCTGGTGGTTAGGTAGAGTAGCTTGCGGCTACACTTTGCCACTAGTCTACTTTTTTATCCAGGGTGGCTCATCCATGTGTGGACGGAATATTACTCATAAGCAAATAAATTTTGGAAAAATCTATTTATGGCATGTTATACATGGCATTTGAGGGCACATTTCTAAAATATTGGCAATTATACAGGGTGTCCCAAAATTGAATCCAAACTTGGACAAATATACAGGGCGATGCATTTGAAATGTTTGGGGAAAAGTACAATTTGCGTTTTTGACCACCCTCTATGAGCAAAAATGAAAATTCGAAAAATTAACAAATAAGCTAAGAAGCTGAGGTGTGTAAGTTTGTTTTGACATAAAATTCAGCACCTCAAATTGCAAAATGGCGGACTGAGGGGTTGCCGAAGTGGGGGGTTTTTCTAGACAAAACACCTTATATCTCAGTAGCTAATTCCCAAAACTCCATAGTATGTTATACCAATTTTCTTGTTTTGAATTGGTTTATCCAAATATGCAATAAAATTTGATGCATTCCATTTGAAAAATCTCAACTTTGATATGTAGGTCGAAATTGGGACACACAGTATAATGACCAATATTTTAGAAATGTGGCCTCAAATGTCGTATATAACATCTCATAAATGGATTTTCCCAAAATTTACTTGTTTATGAGCAATATTCCATCTACACATGGATGGGCTACCATGTATATATGTGTTATTTTACTGGAGTAAAAGACTTATATTAAGTATTATTATTATTACTATTATTATTATTACATAATGTCACTTAGTAGTTATGAAATACGGATGCGGTTCAGCTTTTATCAGAAGCAAGAAATTTTTTATTTAAAAGAGGCGTGCATTCAAAAGTAAGAACGAGGAAGAATTGAGTGGGTTGTGGGCTTATCGTTTGGATATTAGACATTTTATGGACTTAGTGTAAATTATTTATGGGTTTTTTTTAGTTGACCGGTCTTATTTCATAAAAAGACATTAACTTGTTAACTGTTGGAGTATTAGAATCCAAACCACACATTAGGCGTACACGTTATCGTAACGCGTAGAACATCAAATATAATGTAATTAAAAAATCGAGAGATTTGGACGCAGACTCAGATTGAGAAAAGTATACTTTGGTTTCGGGGTCAACATTTGGAGAGTCTCCGTTATTTTCAGCAGGCTGTACAGATTTTCTTGTATTATAGCTAACAACACTCTCAATTTAGTTATGAATCTGATAAAAAAACGAAAATGTCAACGATTAAGCTCACAACAACCCTCTGTTGAAGGAGGAGGTCAAAAAGTTACTAGAAGTAGGCTCAGCATACTTACTTTGCAGCCAGTGGGGGCAAATAGGTCGAAAACGTAGACTGTCCTACAGGAAATTGTAAGTAACAAGAAGACTCTAGTTGGACTGATCATCTTGATAGGAAGGAAGACTCGATTAGACAAAAAAGCGGTTATCTTGCCCTATTTATAATGATGTATTGTATTATTTTTTTTTTTAGTACAGTAGAAACACATTATGTATCACTTTCACTACTCTTTATGTTATTCGGCCTGTCTGTGGTTTACCCGGTAATTGTTGGCTTACCAACAATTCGTAGATGTATTTCAAAACTTAAGATGCACTGAGGACCTTTTGTTTCTCACGCCTACTGGCGAGAGAGTATTGTAATGACGAAATATATAATGAAAATGAAATAGTTTTTTCGGATGTTATACGTCACGAAAAAAAGAGGTCACATATTTCTGTCGGTTTGTGTGTCTGACTGCTAATCCTTGCCCAGGCTATAACTAGCAAGGTAATGGTTGCATTCTGACAAAATTTTCGCAAAGTTTTACAAAGGTACTACCATGCTAAAGCCGAAAAGGTTTTGTAGTTCTTGAAAGTCGCTCGAGTGACAGCAGAACTACGGCGCGAAAAACGGAAAATGGAAATCGCTCATAAGTTCGTCTTTTGACGTATCAGAGGCTTCTGATCATTTTTGGAATTTTTTTGTAGGGGTTAAAATTGACGGTTAGGGGTTACATGGCGGGGACACATCTCAATTTTTTGACATTGGTATATTTATCAAATCTCAAAAAGCTCCAAAATTGTACACAAGCGCATGCAACTTTTAATTGAATCAGCCTGTTTGACTGACTTGATCCATATGATTTTTTGTTATCTACATGTTAGTAGCTACTGTTTTCTTAGCGGGGAGCTTTATGAACTAATGACAGTTTGCGTGGGGTACACAGACGCAATTTGTTTGTCATGAAATATCCAAAAGGCATACTTCGAATTGGGGTTATTTTGCAAATGGGGTAAACAATTAGATTTGCTTTGTATGGACTACATTGAGTCTTAGTAGAAAACACTTCATGTCGTTTTGCGGTGTACCGTCCTCGTCCTCATTTGTTGTCAGAACGGTCTGAAGGACCTGAGCACTTCTCATAGAATCAGGTCGTGAGGTTGTCAGATCGGGTACCCAAGAGGTCTAACAGGAAAATAAGAAAGGAAAGGAGGAAGCAAAGAGGAAGCATAGGAAGAGTCTAAACCCAGACTTGTTCACGAATACTTCAAGCAATCGGACTCCAGACCGCCGAGCACATTACAGGGCCGGTGAGGCTGCATGCACCACTATGTCGTTTCCTGCTCCATCTTTCTGTATATGGGCTCCACCGATTCTGCCCAATAATATACTCGGGAACCGAAAAGTAAGGGAGTAGCGAAACGCAACAATTCAACATATTCAAAAAGATGCCGCGTTAACGTATTCGTGCAGTGTCTTTTGCTGCTCTGTTTATTTTCGATTCCCGAATATAGTTATACTCCCAGTTTCTTGCAATATATCAGCGTGCTTATCTCGTACTGAAACCACGCTGGTTTTGGTTTTGCTTTAACGTCTTTCTTGGATCAATAATTGGATAGGGTTCAAAAAGAATTATTCTAACTTTGCTTATTCTGAACATACGGATTAATTCTGACTGCTGTGCGAGCTGCGGCCTTTTGTACTTACGAACTTCCTCAACTCTATGGTTCACTGATTTGCACAATAGAGAACCATGCAATTCCGCTTCTGATAGGTGTCTGATATCCTGATGTCTGTCTTAGAATCCCACACCCTTTTTAAAACACTTTCCAGTCGCCCTCCGCACGTCCTATAAGCTAGGACAAATCCGGGGAATCCCGGACGGATGACAGCCTTAGGACACAGAACCGCATTTCTGCACATATCAACACGAATTTACAGTTCTGAGCGAACATCCTCACATTACATAATTAACTTTTACACCGCCCTTTAAATTGTCGTATCACCTAACGGAGTAGAGAAAGCACCAACAGCATGCTTTAGGCAGATGTAAGAATGTACCTGTGCGATATTTATCTCTCTATAACATAATGAGTTACGGCGTTGCCAAGTATACGTTTTATCTTAGTCTAAGGAAAGTATGTACAAGCTGGCAACACCGCAGGAAGGGTTTCTGGGAATGCCCCTAATCCACGAAGTTTCAACCTCCTAGGGCTTCAAATAAAGGAGATATGTATATGAGCGAAGCAATGCCGTTGCGATTCTATGTGAACTATCCGAACAGTTTCTGTTATATTATTTCTGGTGAGGTGACACTGGAAGCCCAGCGAAAGACCTTGAGTCCACTTGTTAGGGTTCAAAGTAGACAAAACTTGGGCTCCCAAAGCATGCTGCTGCACTTGATCAAGAAACTTAGCAGGATGGCTACGGGGTACTCACACTTCTATGAAATTTGGGGTGTCAATGATTTGGCGGGAACCTAAGAATCATGTTGATGATTGTTGCTTTTGCTTAACAAAAATTCTGGGATTTTATAATAAAAGCAACCATAAAATAGTGTATCCTAATATCCCCTCAGCCAGTAGACCTTTACCTCGTGACTCTTCTAGCATACTTGTTCCTAAGCCTCCAAAGAAATATGATGAACCAGATAATTCTAACACAGACGAGCCAGAAGCCGATCCAAGTTTTGAGGAGAAAGTCGTTTTCGAATGCAGTAGCACATTCTATATCTCAGGAAAAGCTCAAGGATCTAGTTCGTGATTTAGATCTTCCCAAAAGAAAAGCACAACTACTTGGATCTCGTTTGCAGCAATGGGACCTTTTACAAACAGGTGTGAAAATATCCACGTTTCATAACAGGCAGTCTACACATATGCTGGCCGTATTTTTATCGATGGAAATTGACTGAGTTTACTATCATGATATTCCAGGTTTACTGAATTAACCTGGCATTTGTTATGTACCTACCTATTTACTGACTGATCGAACACAAGTTTAAAGGCAGTTTTGTTGTTCAATGGAAATGAACGGCCATCAGTTCCTGTTGGTTATGTTGTAAATATAAAAGAAACATACCAGAAAACCAGGGCTTATACAAATTTTCATGAAAGCCTTAGATAGAGAACTATACTTTCGAGAAAGGAAAAAGGGTTTGGCATGCCTTCAAAATTGTAACTTATCCAATCTTATAAGGCCTCAGGCTGCAATATGTCACTTAAGCTGCATTTTCTTCACTCCCATTTAGAATTCTTCCTGACAATTTGCGCGCAGTTTCAGACGAGCACGGCGAAAGATTTCATCAGCAAATTGCTTAGATGGAAAAGCGCTATAGTGGAAAATGGACCGCAAACACGTCGGTGGACTACTGCTAGACTATTAATCGTTAAACCGCTCCTGGCGAATACAAGCGAAAAAAGACAACCAAATAAATTGTTTGATTGTTTTTTTATACAATCAGAATTGTATTTTCTAAAAAAAGTGGATTTGTTATTGTTTTTAATTCTTGAAAATTTACCACTACATCGCTTATAATTTGGGATTTTCATATTCTAAATTCTCCTTTCTTTAAAAATATGAGGGTGATGGGTAGAAACTCACTGCATATTAGATTTCAGAACACCATAGTAGACGTGAAAAACCCAAAAAAAAATCAAAGAGTGACAAAAATTTTCAGAATGCCGAACAGTGATTATTGGTCCGTGGCTATCTAAGGGCTTGGTTACGTATGGCGTAAAACATGGGTACTTACACAGTTAAAATAGATGCGTTATCCTTCAGCATATAACCCTAATGGACTGCACTATAATGAATTGTGTGGCTGATAAGACTTGATTTTGCTTTTACACATGTGGAAATCTAAATCTTTGTTGTATAACTTGATGTGACTGTCTGATTACATTCAATACATGCGCTTAGATAATGGGTTCAGTGTTATTTGCCACTGTTACGTGTGGAAGCTTTTGGTAATCATTAAGGTCGCTCAGATGTAGGGCTGTCATCACCTTAATTACCGACGCCAGACAAAAACCCCGGACATTTTGGTGAAATTGAGATTTTTCTCAGAACACGCGGGACCGATGGCATTCCTACTCAGATGAAATGTTGTTCTTAACGATTTGATTTCTCAACGTTTTATATATCATTCGTTTTAAGGAACAGGAACCCATATACATGATTTCTTAGTGCCGGGACATACACGCGTTGGTTTGACGCACTGTAAAAAATGCTAGAATAGCATTACACTATTGGGCATGCAAAACACAATCACTGGCGGAAAATTATTTGATTATGGTTGAAAAAATCCATCAGAGCAATTACAGACCGGCTGATAGACAGACCGAGAAACAAGCAGACAGACAACCTTAAAAACAATGCTTCCTCGCCAGTAGCGTAGGAAGTAAAAGTCGATGTTTCTTCCTCCGTTACTAGCACCCTTTAAGGAGAACAAATTCTCAGCAAGTGGAGTTTTTTTATTACATATTCGATACATATCACAGGCGTAATAGTGTATAAAACATAAAGAGAATAAACTAAATAAACTAAGAAAGCTGTAACTAAATCTTGTGCTTTAATTTCTTCCAATTCCATAGCATGTGACAGTTAAGTGGCTTGCATTCATCATCTAGAAAAAACTGTTTCTTCAGTCTTCGGTAAAATTTTTGAGAAACATGTAATACGACCCAGCAAGCTTCATGACCTGAAATTGTTATTTTATGGTTAATTCTTTTATTATACGATATTTTTTGTGAAGCTTTCCTCAAAGTAGCATGCTGAAATTTAGCAAGTACTGTGAAATAATTTAATTTATCTGTTTATGTAATAGTAATTCAGTAAATAACAAAGTAGCCCCACGAAAATAATGCGCCCTATACTGTCTAGGTTTTGCGAACGCGATGAAGCTGACTCGCTTCGACTTGGTTGTCGGTTGTTACCATTTGCGTTTATGGATACACTTGATAGTCCATCGGGGATCGTCGGTGCCGGCTCGTGTCTAATCGCGGTCGCCCGAGTGCGTGGGCCGCTGCGACTATTATTTGGGCTTGTTACCATTTCTTGTTTTGGCTACTCACTTCTCACTCGTTAGTAACCGTTTTGGTTACCGGCTGTAGTGTGCGTGGAATTAAACATGGATGAGTCTCGGTGCGTAATCGATCAACTACTTGAAAAGTGATTATCCTTGTATAATTTTGAAAAAAAAGGGTATCACCTATTTTAGATAATTTTAAAAAGGAATAAAAAAAGTGGGTCGATATTTTAAATTAAGTTGGTATAGTGGAAACTTTTGGTTATGTGGTTGCAACAAAAACAGATTGTATTGTTGGCGATGACTTCTGTTTTCTACAAAAAGCAATGGGTGTACCAGCAGCGGAGTCAAGGGTTTAAATAGTTTTAGAGTTTTAAAGAAGAGACATGAAATTTCTCCGTTACATGTGAGATGTGTAGCCAATTGGATTCAGTTTGGGAAAACAAGAATTGAAAGTTGTCTCTTTTAGGCAGCACACGTATAGATGCCTTCTGTTTTTTGACCAAACAAGAATTACCATTTCGGGGTCATTTTGAAGGGTATGACTCTGACAACACAGAAAATTACAGGGTTAACATTAATTGCCAAAAAAGGCCAAACATTTTTCGAACATCTAGAAACGTCAACTGTTTTTCTGGAAGGCTTAGATTAGTCATAGCATAAGACGATGAGGTATATCAAGTGCCCCAGACGCCAGTCCAGCAATGTTTATCTTAATTCAAAAAAATTTTAAGTAAAATACACAAAATAAGCAAAAACTTATATTTGGGAGGTTCAAAATAAACTTTTTTTAATAAGATTTTTCACATCTGCTTTTGGTAACAACTTAGGAGAAGTCACGCGTCGCCACTGGTAACGACATACATTGGATCGTTTATAACTCATTAACTAATCAATAAGGTGCAAAAGTATGTAATATCAAACTTCTTATTTTGAGATAGTATCCGAATATATGCAATAAAGTATACGACATTTCGTTAAAAAATTACATTTTTTTTTGATAAAAACTAACATTTACAGCAGTCTCTAAGTTAACTCTGATGAATCCTCCAGCATTCATGGTAGTACCCAATTGATCTCTTGTAATGATCATCAAAATATGGCGACCATACTGAGGATACTCGTACCACTTCGAAAAATACGCTGCATTTCTTATTTCTTCAACCTAAAATTCAAAACAATATTATGCCGCAGAATGGGATTTTTAAAATGATATCTGGTAATTAATGCCAATGTTAATGCTGGATTACCATACTGTTTTTGTGTCCAAGAACTAAAAATGTTGTATGACAATTACTGGAGATAAATAAATTAGTATATTAGTGCTACTCTTAATGTACTTTGCAAATGGCCATCTAGGGGCCGAAATGATAGCAAATCTTTATCTTACATCTGTGGGTTTATTTGGTGGCCAGTCATTAGACAAAGCCACAGGTGTCTTGTAACAAAATCATGTGATGGAGAAAATTAACTCTAAACATTCTTTATTGAAACTTTTTACTTTATTGACATTCTAAATATTTAGTTTATTTAGTTTGTTATTATCTTGCTTTTGCAACAAAGTAATCACAGAATGAAAGAATCACTCCCTAGCGTTAGGTTAATGCAAAAAAGCATTTTTTAAGATATGTTACATGACACCTTTATCCACTTGTGTCTTCTAGTGTCAGATGTACCCAATCTTATTTTGAATGATTCAGTAAATGAAAAAAACTTACTTGATTTATGCAATACTGTGCAGGAATACAAAATGCTCCAAAGAACTCTATAAGTGTCATTGCAACTACGTCCAAGTCACGAATTATAGTAAAGTTTATGCTATTCCTGTAAATAAACAAATATACTAAACTAGCTCTTACCCGCGACTTCGTACACTTACAATTGTTCAAAGAACCAAAATTTTGAAACTAACACATTAGATTAAATCAAATTTCATATCGGAAAAACACCACTCTGCCTAGTCTCTCACTAGAAAAGGTAAATACCTAGGTATAAAATTGTAACAGCCCGCATACCCTGTCACAACATCTATTCTCAACTTATGTCTATTCTAAAGAACCTGATTATTGACAATTTTAGGTATCTAGCAGCAAATTCGCAAGTACTCTTCTCCGCCGTAATACGGCGCCGTTACAAAATCCGTTCTTAGTTGACATGTCCTGTCCGTAAACTACCCTTCAGCTGAACTTCAGGTTCGTACCTCAAATAGTTTTCACGATTTCGTGATTGAGGTGGCCCAACGAAAAGGTCGCACCCCCATTTGTAACTCTCCTGGTATATTTTGGGAAAAACGCTTGGTCACGTCAATTTTGATTTCTAGGGGGACATCTTTTCTTCTTTAGCAGTACAATACAGGGTGATCCAAAAATAAGATACTGCGTTACACTTTAGATTTTTAAATGGAAGCCCACATTTTTTAAATTTTTATATTTTCCATGAGGTTTTTAATAGTATTTGTATAATAAAGTTTATACCTATCTTTAACCGTTGTTAAGCTACATGAGCTTATAACAAAATTCATCTATCTTAACTTAATACTGATAATAATCGAATGCACGTCAAAAATAGTAATAATGGATACCATCAAGAACATTTAACATCAATAAGTGTCATCGTATGTCATAGAAAAACTTTGTCTTTTATTTCAAATTGTTAAGCTACCTACCTAGTTGTGATAAATATTGAACTTATTCAAATTCAAGAAAGATTATAAATAACAAAACTGTATTGCCAAAATGGAAGCATTGCAAGACCTACTTCCCCGTTGTTTAATGCGTTAATCCAGACAAAAATATTAACGATAGATATGTGGCTAAGTAGACAAGAAAATTTGAAGAAACTGAATCTGTGTCTAATAATCGCCGTAATCGTCATCGAGAAAATTGACCAGTTAGAAATGAAGCCGCAGAAATAGCAGTTTTGGAACACGTAGCACTTGATATCACCCAAAGCACTCGTGGCCTGGCTACATTTTCACGATTTACACGCTCAACAGTATGAAGAATTTTGGAAGACAATCACCCGTACAAGATAAAACTTGTCCATCAGTTTAATGAACACGATTTTGATAGAAGGTTGTACTTTTGCGAATTAATGCCCCAAGGTTTAATCAAGAATGCAAATCTATTGTTTAATATTTGTTTCTCGGATGAGTGTACGTTATATTTAGATGGTGCTGTGAATAGACATAATACTTGATATTGTGACTCGAACACACATTTGTTCCGAGAGGTACACTTGCAATATTCTGAAAAAATAAATGTTTGAGCCGGCATTTTCGGAAGTCATATTGTAGGAACTTTCTTTATTCCTGGAAGCTTGACGAGCGGGGTGTACTTGGACATGTTAGAAATACCAATAGAGGCACGAATTACCGAAATAATAGAAAATGAAGTTAATTATAATGAAAATTACATTCATTTTCAACAAGATCGTGCTCCAGTACGACAGTTTTTGGGCACCAAATTCCAGAATCAGCAGATCAACACACGAGGCCTCATCGAGTGGCCGCCTAGATCTCCGGACCTAAGTCCCTTAGACCCGTATCGTCAGTCGTTCCTACAATTGTAGGACGCATTTATGGCCTCCTTAATTTTCATAAACGTGTCATCATCAGTAAGGTACTTGTATGTACTGCTTTAGATTTCTAGTTTGCTGTCAATCAGAAGTCAATTGTGATGGTAGGTTATATTTATTTTTGACGTTTAAGGAATTTTAGACAGATACATGCCCTGCCCTATCTGGTATTTTTTTGTATTAGTGTGAACCTTAACCTAAAAATTTCAGACTATTACTCTAAAAAATATCATTATAAAATTGTAGCCCACACCAATGTGTAAAATCTTTAATGTTTCCTAAATCTATGCATCTTTTTTGTAGATATAAACCATCGTGTTATTGCATACAAAACTCCATACATCTATTTTGGAAGGATAAAAGGGCGAATGATTTTCCTAAGAATGGATTCATGCATCCAGGAACTTGAATGCATATTTGAAGGAGCCAACTTTACAGAAATAAAAAGTGAATTTGCTTTTTGTGACTGACATATGTTACACTGCAATTTGTAAATTAAAGGTAGGCATAAGCTTGTATAATCATAAAAGTTAAAAGCTATCGAGTTCAAGAGGAGCATCACCCTAGGCAGGGGGTTCTCAAATGTCCAATGGTTAATGTTGCAAGTGAGAGCTAAAATGTTACACAAAACTCGATAAAGTGCCTTTTTGAATATTGTAACAAAATCTGACAAAGCTGATACCACGGGGTAAAATAAAAATCCGGTGATCAAGCAAAAATGCTATAAGAAATACAAATTTTAACACTTATGGTTATATTGATACTTAGGACTAAAAATTAGAAATCGCCATTACTTATAACAGTATTTTTTCTGATCTACTTGCAATCCTGATAAGCCCAGAGTACAAGATAGTGTTCCAAGACAATAACTCTAGTGTAAGGAACGTTATTAGAGGGAGAAAAAGAAGAGTCAATATATTTAAATTGGATATTTCAAGAAGTTTGGTACCTAGAGTTAATTAACTTTCCAAAATGATCTAATGTATTCCCAAACTAGAAATATTTCTTTGTGATTGATTAGATAACCTTTTAGCACTGTTTACATAGTTTGTAATTTAGAAAATATCATATATTCTAGTTAACGTCATGCTAGAGAAGAAACATTTGTTTTAAGAGAAAATAAGGATTAAAAATTAATGAAATCTATATTTCTAGATATTTTTGAACGAACCTATTGTATTTCTGTGGGTATACAATGTAGAATAAAAAATATTTATTTTACCAAGTATTCTTTTATTTATATTCTGCAAATACCAACTGAAAAATATGATACATGAAATTGTTAAGGTATTCATAGACAGTACCTATGTCAAAACACATAAATATCAGTAATCAAATTAAGTCTTTATATTTAACAGGTACAACTAATAAAAGGAAATATGAACTAATATAAAGCCAAAAAAACATCCAAAATGAAAAACTACAATAGTGTATTACGCTAACCTTTAATAATTTATTTTTACTTACCTACATAAAATATATAGTGTCTTCCAACTGAATGTCAATATTTCAAAGAGTGTCTTTTGGTTCTATTTTAAGAAGAAAACTTCATATAATCGTATGTCCTAAACGTCTTGACTTTTGAGAAACGGGGCGGTAAACTTTTTAAAAATCAATAATTTTTCTGTTAGGATCTGTAATACCACTTTAAATACATTATTAAAATTCAGCATAAATGTACTATCAAGAGCTAATTTTTAATGTACGAATTTTCTTCACTTGCCTATTTTGGCAGACAATGATAGTACGCAACTGATTTCTCTTAAAATAAAAACCACTCTTGAAATCCCATCATTTCCAAACAAATTTGATCCCTTATTTTTTTCACTCTGATGCACGGTATTCGCTTACAAAAATAAAATAACGTTTCTTTGCATGATCCTAGTATCATTAGTATGACAATGTCACTATGTCGAGAAATAGATTGTATTTTTCGGGTAAAAACCTTGCGTCAGACTAAAAGAATTCAATTTTTAATGCCCGGTCCAGGATTTCCACCCAAAAAATTACAGATTTCTTTGCATGGTAATATTGACATGTTAACAATATTGTTATGATCGTTTTTATAAAAACCGTGCATCAGATTGAAAAAAATCCAAGTGATTTTTTATTAGAAGTGATTGAAAATTTTAATAAGAGAGAAATAAGCGGCATACCATCACTGTCTATCAAAACAGGCAGGTAAAATTAAAAGAATGCCTCTCGAGACGTGTACATGTATGACAAATTTCATTAAGTGGTATTACAGATATTCATAATCAAAGATTTATTTTGTTGACCTTTTTTACCACAATGTGTTTCGTAAGTTAAAACATTTAGGACATATGATCATTTGAAGTTTTCATCTTAAATTTTACTGAAACCACCTCCTTAGATATGGACATTCAATTAGGAAACACACTAAATTGCAGCTACCAATACTACAAGAGATAAATGCAGACCTTCGAGCCAAAGACTTCATATTTTTTTTACTGTGACTATCATAACTAACAAAAGTATTTTTTTAGTATGCTCAGTAGCTGCAGGCTTCATTATTGATAGCAATTTAAGTCCAAAATTTATACCCAGCAGTTTAAATACAAATCAAATTCTATACCCCAGAGCCAGGTTAGGTTAAGTTCATTTTTGCCTAAAATGAGACTTACATTTTAAGTTCATGATGAAGTTGTGAATTTTAATTTGATACTTGCAGCATATATATATATGTATATATATATACAGGGTGACTTCGAAGTTGAGTCATTTATTTTAACAGTGAGTAGATCTGATCAAAAGAAATGTTTTTTTCCTTTAACATTTTTCTGGTAAAATTAAAGTAACAAAGTTATAGCCCTTTAGAAGTTTGAGTACCGCCTTGTCTCAATAATAATATTATGTGCTCGTGTTTGACAACAACGGATATAATCCGCGTTATCGGTTCATCGCATCGGAAACAAAAAAGCGAAAGAATTTGAAACGTTTATCACGATGTTTTTCGTCAGTCGGTAACGCGTGAGTGAATAGTGGTGTTTGTTGCGTGGCTCAAACGAAATAAAAAATGGCACATGTTTACGAAAATGCTGAACTTGTGGACATGATTCTACAAAATGCTGCCGCGGCATCACGGATTTGTGCGAATCGGTTTCCCAATCGAGTGCAACCAACCCCTCGTGCCTTTGTTAATATAGTACAAAGGGCCCGTGAATCAGGAGACTTAAGACCTTACAGGGGAGGGCCTGTCGGTGCTCCAAGACCGCACGATCAAATAC